TGAGGAGAGAGGAGAGGGGCAGATGAGGTAAGGATCCCATTGGGGTTGGAATGACAGGATCTATCCTTATGCATTAGTTGGATCCCTCTGGTTGCTCTCCTGAGAGCAGACTGTGGAGGGACAGGCATGGAAGCAGGGAGACTAGTTAGGAGGTTGCTATAATAATCCAGGGTAGAGACAATGGCGGCCGAGAGCAGGCTGGTAGTGTGGGGTATGATAGTTTGGTAGAGAAAGAAGTCAAGTTCTGGATATATCTTTACTTAATATTCTCATGTATATTGTTCTAAATAATACAAATTAAATGATAATCATAATATCTAAATTACATTAATGAGTTATTAGTTTTTATATTATCTGTACTATAGTACAGTTTTTTATATATTTCTTAGAATGCTCATGAAAAGTGTACATGTTATAGAAATGTAAAGTTTCTGAGCAAAAAGAATGAACATACATGCTGGAGCAGCAACCAAGTATGCAGTCTCATTAGAAGATTTTTTTTGCCTGAAAATGGATGAGGGCTCATTGTCATGTTAAGAGCATGAAGAAAATCTTAAGGTCTGTATAACTGACAGTTTGAGGGTCCATTCCCTGTGGGCACTTTAAAGATTTTGCCCATTCAGAGATAATAGTTTATAGATAATTGTTTTCCCAGACCTCATTAGAAGGGCCAATTAAACATGACTTGAGAACTGAGAGATTAAAGTGTCTGGGACAAGAATGTAGCCTCCCTCTGGGTCAGAATGGAAATCAATCCTTAAGAAATAACCTTAGCTCCAAGTATCTAAGCTTTGAAAAATGCAAAAGGTTAAGGGAACAAACATGTACTAAGTATGTAACATGCCAGGCACTGTGCTAGGTGCTTACATACGTTATCTCATGTCATGTCATGTGGAAACTCAGACTTACTGGAGTAAATGATTTATCAAGGTTAGTACAGTTGAGTGAGTGATGGAGGCAAGAATTAAAATAGTGTGCATGTGTACAAGTCTGTGACCTTTTTGCTATATCTCACAAATGAAGTATGCACACGTAACTCTAGGAAACTCAAAAGGTCAATGCTAGGAGAAAGAGTATAGATGGACACTGGCCGTTTTCAGGGTGACCCTAGAGAAGGGTCTCTCATAAAAGACATGGCTGTGGTTTTTATACCTGGCCATGCATTAGAATCACCAGGGATGGGGCACCTGGGTAGCTCAGATGGTTAAGCATCTGCCTTCGGCTCGGGTCATGATCCTGGGGTCCTTGCTGGGCGGGGAGTCTACTTCTCCCTCTGCCCCTCCCCCACCCCCCGGCTCATGCTCTCTCTCTCTCATGCTCTCTTTCTCTCTCAAATAAATAAACAAACAAACAAAAAGAATTACCAGGGATATAAATTTTTTTATTCTGAAAAAGACTTTCAAGTGACTTCCAAGTAGGAAGTCTATCATTAGCCCACTGTTCTATGCATGATGAAGAACCACCCAGAATGAGGGGTAGGAACAAAAAGTAACAACTGGAGACAACATAGAGCTTATAGGTAGCAACCTGAAACTCACTGGCCATGAGTAAAAAAAAAAAAAAAAAAAAAAAAAAAAAAAAAAAAAATCTGGGCTTCATGCAATTTGTATCAAATACAGTTTGTTCCATAAATTTTGTTTCTAAGTAACTAATAATCTTTTTGAGATACTGAGGTGTCATTCCCTACATTATGGAGGTTTCATGGAATCAAAAAACAAATGGAGATGGAAGGGACCTCAGAGAATTGTCCCCTCTCTGGAGAGCTGAGGAGGCCAAGACCCAGAGGGGCAAATGTCTTGTTGGAGGTCCCAAGAATCCACATGTGGTCTCAGTCCAGCGTTGACTCCATCAAGCAATTCTGCCTCCCTAAATATCTTTCTCAATGTTGTCAGTCATCCTACTGATAAAACTTGGTTTTCTCTGGCTTTTATTTGAATGTCCAATTTTGCTTACCTACAGCTGTCCCCAGAAAAAACTCTAAGTATTAAAAAAGCTATTCCCTGTCCACACAGTTTTAATGATTTAGATTTCTTCAGCAAGCATAAGACCCTAGCTTGGTTTTAAATGTCAAGACTTGTCTGTATTTCATTTTCATGTTTAAAGGTTATTCTAATATAAATGGGGGCTGGGGGGTAGGCAGAGCAGGAGGCTCTCTCCAGCCCTCATGTTGTTTCTTTAATGTGCTAATCCTTCCTTTAGGTCTCTTCATTTTGCCTCTTCGTCATATACTTAATTTTAAACAAACCACTTTTCTCATTTAATTCCCCATTACATTTGTGCCAACACATTTTGGAAAGAAAAATAAAGGAAATATTTGCCCCAGTTAAACCACTCTCCTGCCCCCACAGCGTACCCTTGTGATCTAAACCCAGTTCTCTATCAGCAGATGTTTCTCTAGGTGGAATGTTCTGTGTCCCTGCCAGAAAGAGCCGAGGCTTAATTGAAGGAGCAGCTGGTCACCAGCCACTGATGTGAGGAGAAAGAAATCATATTAGAGCTTGTTCTTATCTGGACCAGCTGCCATTCATTTCTTTTCCTCTTTTTCTTCCTTTATTTCTCAAGACTTTGGACCAAAGATGCAGGCCATCTTCCTGGTGCATCTTCAAATCTGTAGAGAGATGTAATATGACTTTAATCTCTTTGGGGGGAGGGGTGTCATTTTTATAAGGTTAAGATGATCAAATCTTTTAATACTTTCCATCCTTATCTCTTTTTAAAATAGTGTCTTTCCTTCAAAGCATCAAGGCATTGTAGGAACAAAGAGAAAAATGTGTTGGAGGATGTTGGTTCTCATTAGATGGTTACAATTTTGGTTGGATCGCTGCCTTTTGGTAAATGGGAGTGATAGTCTAGACATTAACCTAAGGTTGTTGAGGTTCTTCACACACTAGGCCCTCCTTGTCATAAAATTCCTTACTTGAAATTTTACTGTAAAATCATTGGGAGGAAACACATGGAATTCTGTTTAAATTAAAAAAAAAAAAAAACTACCTGAAAAATTAAAAAAAAAAAAGTCACTGGGCAGTAGGCTCTACTTAAAGCTTATCATCTGAAGGAGGAAGGAATTTATTTTAAAATCTCTAGTTCATTCAAGTAATATGACTTCGTATGTAGATTAGGACTATTTCCTGGACCAGGCTCATGGTGCTAAATTGCAGAGGAAAGCATGAAGAAGGAACATGAACTTGGGGAGACTGACCTTAAGAGATGGAGACTTGAGGGGGGTGCCTGGGTGGCTCAGTCGGTTAAGTCTCCCTCTTGATTTCGGCTCGGCTTGAGAAAGACATTGGAGGAGTGAAAAAGCAAAGGGAGGACACTGAAGAAGGAACACAGAAATGGCTGGAAGCAGCTACCCTCCTACGCTGGAAGAACAAAGGGAAAATGTTGGAGTTATTAGGACATAAAAGGTTGGAAGGGGGCACTGGGACCCAGTTTTCTATGGAAAGGACACTAGGTGCCTCAGAGGAATGTGGGGGGTGGGGGATGAAATCAACTGCCACCTGCCAGGATGGGGCTGTTGCTGGGGCAAGACTGTCATGATGTTTTCCTTTTCCCTTCTGCTGCTAGGAAGCTCAGAGTCCACTGTCAGCAAGTGAGTAGAACTTTGTGTCATTATGGCTGCGGTGATTTTTTTTTTTTACTTTATTGGCAATACTTTTATTTCAACATATATTGTGCACTTCTTTGCAAATTTCCTCAAAATCTTTTGGGAAACCACTGAATATTTCTATGTCCATCTAGACTACCTTCATGTGCATCTTCATCTATACATTCAACTAAAACTTCTCTACCTACATTTATACTTCATTTCTACCACCATGTACGTCCCATCTATACCTCTATCCAGATTTTTATCCGCATCAGTAACCATGAGGGAGACAGGGCCATCCAAGTCTGTCTTTGTAGTTTCAGTTGTGTGTGTTTAGCCCAAAATCTGAATATGAAAGCATAATTAGGAAGGTCTTAACATGAAGATAGCTCCCATCTGCTCTTCAGCCTCCACTGTGTTTCCATGAGAAAGCCTTGCATTGACAGATGTACTAATGGGCCTGTGATATAGAACCCAAAACTTAAAAAGTTCTAACCCATCAAGAAATCTCATTCATCATTTCATTTTTTGGAAAGGATATAAAAAATGAAATGTCAGAGCTATAATGTCAGGACCGTTTAAAATGTCAAGTGCTTGTTGTTCCATAGCCTGGCTGTCTCCTCTTCTGATCAAACCCCCAACTGGCATAATAATTATAGATGATGCATCACATTTTCATGCACAACTGGACCCAGATTTATAACAAATCAGCAGAAACGATCTCATTGCCCTGCCTGAAATTTTCTCCTTTTACTATATAGCTTAAGACTTTTCCTTTGGAGCAGAACATTATTACTGATTCAAGACAGGATTCAGGGTAAAGAATAAGGGGAAAAAGGGAAGAAGAAAGTTTCTCCATAGACCAGAACTCAGTCATTTATAATAGAGATACAACGGGAGCCAAGAGACAGCAAACACATTTGCTGAACGCATGTTAAGAAGAATATTAAAGTATGGAGACACTGCCCAGATCATCCAGTTCTATTTCAAGATTCAGATTAATTTAGGTGTGCAAGGAAACATATATGTGAGCTCTATTTTGAACAGATATGGAGACAGTCCTTCAGGTTAATCATGTTTTAATCTGCAGAGAAAGTACTAATATATAGACAGAAAAGCAACAATTCTTTTGTCTGTGATCTTTATGGAAGTCTTCATGGGACTTAAGTGATGTATTCACAAGCCAGTACCAATTATAATAAAAACCTGAAATCAATAGCATGTACGTGGGAGAATTTCATTTCTTCTCAACTGAAAGTCTTGTATCCACTGGAAGTCGGAAAAGGCATTCTCACGGCTCACCGCTGCTTCATTTCCTCTTTCCCTAGATCAGTCTTCTCACGTGGTTTGAAGGAAGCCTCCCTTCTGTATCTGTTTCTTATTATAGATTACTTTCAGTACGTTGGAAAAGTCAAAGCTCTTGGAAACAATCTCCAGAAGATCCTGATCTTTTTCTGTGCCGTTGATAAATTCTTCTAAAGTCAATTCTCCCAGAAAATAATAAATGAACAATTAACAAGAGGCTTTGTTCATACCAATCACTGGTGTATACAATATATTCCCAGATACTTTCCTTGATATTCTTCTGACATTTTTTTCACCTCAACCAGACTCTAAATTCTTTGAATATCCTTATATAGAAAAGCATTCAATGGTAGGGTTGCCAATGAAAATGTAGACGACAAAAGCAGACTATTTTTTTTTTTAAGAGAGAGAGAGGGAGGGAGAGAGTGCAAGCGGGGGTGGGGGGAGGGGCAGAGGGAGAGGGAGAGAGAGAATCTCAAGCAGGCTCCATGGCGAGCACAGAGCCTGATGCGGGGCTGAAATCATGACCTGAGCCAAAATCAAGAGTCAGACGCTTAACCAACTTAACGACCCAGGTGCCCCAAATACAAACTATTTTTAAGTTGAGAACATCAGCAATGCATTTGTGTTCACATACACATTCACGTCTCTACACAGTATTGATTATTTGACCTTTAATCTTGAAGATATGACCAAGTGATAGGAGCATGAATATTGCTGATTTCTTTCTTTTTTTTTTTTTAAAGATTTTATTTATTTATTTGAGACAGAGAGAATGAGAGATAGACAGCATGAGAGGGAGGAGGGTCAGAGGGAGAAGCAGACTCCCTGCCGAGCAGGGAGCCCAATGCGGGACTCGACCCCTGGACTCTAGGATCATGACCTGAGCCGAAGGCAGTCGCTTAACCAGCTGAGCCACCCAGGCGCCCAATATTGCTGATTTCTAAGATCAGGAGGAAATGACATTGTGCAAGGCTGTTTTCAATATTCTTCTCTCAGGAAATAATTTCAGGGACTGTCCAAAGCTGTGAGGAAGGTTAAACATTTTTTTAAAAGATGTTATTTATTTATTTGAGAGAGTCAGAGACCGAGAGCACGAGCAGCGGGAGGGAGAAGGACGAGCAGATTCCACACTGAGCGTGGAGCCTGACTCGCGGCTCAATCTCAGGACCCTGAGATCATGACCTGAGCCGAAACTCAGAGTCACACACTTAACCGACTGAGCTACCCAGGCACCCCTAAAAAGGTTAAAGATTTATTCATTCCATGTGTAATTATTGGTCAGCCATTTTCTGATTTTTTTTTTTTAAGTAGGCTTCATGCCCAGCATGGGGCCCCATGTGGGACTTGAACTCATGACATTAAGATCAAGACCTGAGCCAAGATCAGGGGTTGGATGCTCCACTGACTGAGCCACTCAGGCTCCCCTCTCGTTTTTGATTCCCAGTTTCATCAGCTTGACTTAAGCCATGGCTGCTGTGTTTTGCCACTAGCATCATCCTGCAAGATAACTTTTCAGCATTTTGAGGGGATGGGGGGCTTCTCTGCTGACTCATTTGGACTGTAGTTATGAGCTTTATGGTACGTGCTGGATAGCTAGTTCGTGTAAGCATACTCCAAATGCCCCTGTTAATCGCTATCTTGAAAATGTAGAGATCCCATCCTCCCTCTACATTCCCACCAAGCAGAATGTGCAGTGGAATGTGTTGTTTAGTGTTCAAGGTCAGGGGCTCTGGGGATGGCCAACCTGGAGTATCTCCCCTAAAGCAGTGTCCAGGTGGCAGACCTTGGTTTCCTTGGAAGTGCTGTCCATGCAAGGAGGGGAGGGGCCCCTGAGAGTTGCTAGGTTAAATTGCTCTAATACTAAACTTGCTGCATATAGATGCCAAAAGCAGATGCTCTGTCCAGTTGGCCACTGCTAGATTCCCTGTACATAAGTTCCCCTGATAAACCTATGTCTTGCCCCATATCAGGCTCCCTGCTCAATGGGGAGTCTGCTTCTCCCTCTCCTTCTCCCTCTGCCCCTCCCCCCGCTCATGCTCACTTTCTCTCTCTCTCTCTCAAATAAATAAAATCTTAAAAATAATAATAATAATAACCTATGTTTTAATCGTTGTCTCCGGGTCTTTTCTTTGGCCTCACTGGACCACCACCCACCCTAGGCTTAGAGTCTGCTGGGACTTGGCTGCACATGACTGTCTTCAAGTCAAGGGGTAGAGATGTAGTTCCTGATCTCAAAGCGACTGTACCAAATAGGTTTTGTGGCTAGGTAGAAGGGCAGCCAAAGACAAGTCAAGAACACTCAGTAACTAGAGAATGTACATCTGGGGCAGAAAGTCAGCAGGACCTGAAATACTTTTTAGTGGATAAAGTCAAATATACAAAGCACCATGATAGTGATTCAAATATAAACAAGCATGAATCATCACATTCTCATGATATGTTCCCTTTGGTTTCAACGGCAAAATTCTAAAACATGTTTTTTAGAGGGAAATTGAATCTTTGTTCCTTATGTTTTCCTTATGCCAAAGAAGTTTGTGCAAAACCCACAGGGTAGGCATGGAGTCATCTATGTCTCACAGGGAATGTATAACCATGGAATGAGAAAAAGAAAACTGAAAACTGAGAGAAAACTGCAAATGAGGAGTAGTAAGTGTGGGGCTGGGGACGGGCACATGGTGCGGAGTGGTGGGTCACAGAAACCATAAATAACAACAACAAAACAATCCTATGTTTTGCAAAGGGAAATCATAGCTGCTAAATTCCCCACGCAGAAGTTTTTCAAATTTCTAGGAGCTTCGCATGACCAAAAGAGAAATGAGAGTGCAGATGTGGGAACAGAAGTGCGTTTTGAGCGCTCAGGTATAACACTTGTCCATTGTCACCAGTGCTGCTAAAGGAGCTGTGTCTGAGGGTGTGGAGGGTAGAGTCACCATGTCAGGTGAAAAGCAACATCAGTTACTGGTGTGGCAAAGACAGAAAAGACGGAATTTCTTTAAAAAACGTTTTTTTTTTATTGGGATAGAATTGACATATAACATTGTTTCAGTTTAAGGTGTACAACATAATAATTAGATACATGTATATATTGCAACATCCATCACCTCACATAAATACAATTTACACTTTTTCTTTTTCTTGTGATGAGAACTTTTACATTCTACTCCCTTAGCAACTTAGAGGATGGAACTCTTCACTGTTGTTTTTTCACTTTTCTCAAAACCTGTGTGAACTCTGCATATTTGTTTTGTTTATGTTACCTAACCAGTTACCATAAAAAAAAATTCTTTTTGAAATTAAGCCAACTTCTACCTATAGCAACTTATAACTTTTACTATTTCTATTTAAAGTACTTACCTTGAAATTTTCCTCTTTTCCCTCTAGCACTTAGCCTTCACTCATTTATTCATCAAACATGTATTAAGCCCCAGCTACAAGTGCCGTTTCCTCCAACGCTATGGTGCTGGAACGTGACAGGCGCTCAGAAAAAGTGCTGACAAATTGCTTCCCTTTATCTGATGTTCTTAAACATTGTTTCCTAATCCCTTTTAATTTGTCTGTGGATTTATGCCCAAACAAATTAAAAGGATGGTTTCTGAATCTGTCTAGAAAGAATCGCCTATGCAGGTCTAGAAGCTTCCCCTCAAAAAATCTACCAGCAAAGAGCCAAAGCCAGTAAGAGGTGACTGAGCTGGAGATCACAGGGCTCAGAGGGATCTAAACCAATGGTTTGAGTTTGTATTATTTTGTTGTATATTTAAAGATACATTTCAGTGTTTGTAGGGCATAATTCAGAAAGTATACAATTTTGGTTTTATATGTTTATAAAATATGTTTTATATGTTTTTATATGTTTATACCATTTATATCTACATGATTTAGTTTTTTTTGTTGTGTTTGCAGACACCTTCTCTCCTCCTGGGGACCCTGAAGGTCAATGCTCTCCCATCACTCACTACCAATTTCAGCAACTTCATTGATGATAGAGGCTACCTGTGGATATTTTCTTTAGCCTTGTTTTTGCAATCTGGTTATCTTGTTGATATTCCTGGGTCCCGTGTTTCTTCCCATTAACATCTTATATTACCTTTCATAACAAAACAAAAAATGACCTCCTACCCCCCTCAAAAAAAAAAAAAAAAAGGCAAAATTTACTGTGCATGCTCACGTTATCATTGTTGCTCTAAGGAAGTCAGCCTGGTTTTAAAAGAAACCAGCCTGCATAAAAGATTTTTTGTCAATTCCTCTAAATGAGAACGTGGTGAAACAGTGTAGCGGTGCCGGGAAATTAGCAGAGACAGGAATGGGGGTGGGTCTCAGGAGACGAGAATGACCAGATTTTCAAGGGCGGACGCCAGTGAAGAGTTTACATGACACAGTTTTGCAGTCATAAGCAAGGTGGCGCTAGCAGCATTTAGCAGCATTTTATAGCTGAGCTTTTAAGTGCAGGAGTTTCTTTTTTATACGAGAAAACCCGATTCCCCCTTCTCCCCTGGTAGTTCTGCTTCTCAGTTTGAGTCACTGTGACTTCCGTGGCTTTTCACAATGTTCCTTCTAGGTAACTGCTCAATAAAGTGTCTTCATGTCCTGTCCCTGTTTTCTTTTACCCAAAATATCTGCCCAATAATCACCTCTTTCATTTCGTCTTTGGCCTTGTTCTGTCTCTTTTCACTTTCATGGTTTATTATTATGAGCTACTTAAGTCTCCCCGGCGCCTGTGCTATTTGGCACTAGCTTAAACTTGCCTGGACACTTTCTGCACTTGATGTTGTAAACAGATTCTATAAATCTTCCTAAATCAGGTCAAGAATGACTCCTAGGCCGTGCATGGTAGAACGTGGTTGCTATTCTTCCTGCAGGAAAGGCTGCAGAATTCCATGCTTCATCATTTATCCTGACTTGTCTTGCTCTCTTGCCTCTTTTCGTTCTTCAGTAACATTGAATATTGAACTTCAATCTTCTGTCACTGTGATTCTCTTCAAGTTTTTCTTCCTGATGCTTTTGTTCATAATATAAGGATAAAAATAGCTTGTTGAATTATTACCATAATACATGCTCGTGATATAAAACTTAAGCTCTACAAAAAAGTGTAATGAAGTGAAAGAAGTCCCCTGTAACCTCTTTCTGTCCCCCCGTTTCACTTTCCATTGGTAATTAACTCCTGCTAATCAATTGCACTTATATTTTGTGAAGTGGCAATGCATATGCACATATATGTTAATTTCCAAAATAGTCTAAACACCTTTCTTCCTACAGATAACATTGCATGTTGTGGGGCGCCTGGGTGGTTCAGTCGGTTGAGCTTCCGATTCTTGATTTCGGTTCAGGTCATGATCTCAGTGTCCTGGGATCGAGCCCTGCATTGGGCTCCCTGCTCAGTGAGGAGTCTGCTTGTCCCTCTCTCCCTCTGCCCCTTCCACCACCATTGTGTGTGCTCTCTCTCTCTCTCGCTCTCAAATAAATAAATCTTTAAAAAAAAACATTGTATGTTGTACTTGTTTCTTTTTTATATCTTCCTTCACTTTTCATAACATCTTCTTACCAGACACTCATTCATCTCACAACTATTCATAGAGTAACTGCTATGTGTCAGGAAGTGTGAGCCTGCAAGAAATACCGAAGTACATAAAACAGAAATAGTTCTTGCCCTCATGGAGTTTGTAGATACTCATTTTTTTTATTTTCATAGCATTTATCCTATGCCTCTCTTTTAATTAATCTTCTAACTTTGATTTGCTAACTATCATGATAATCATGTATAGAATACTTCATAGCTGTTGCGTATTTTTTTGTCCCAACATATTTGATGTTGGTTATTCTTTTGTAAACAATTTGCAGTTAAATTGGGATGTTCATATATGTTCCTAAAGTTCTCTCCTGTTGTGTTGTGATCTTCTTCATCTTTGGTTTCAATATTCACTGGATTATCAGATACCAATAGTAAGCTTCTTTTCAGTTTGAAAAATAAAAAAAATATATTGGCACATAGTCAATACTATTCTGTTATACTTGACTGAACATCTCTATTTCTACCAAACTGATGTTTTGATAACAATGATAATCAACAATTTAAAAAATCTTATTCGAGGTATATATACTTAGGTTTGTACAAAGATGAATATACATTTTCCCCTGTGGTGCTTGCTCCCCTTTTAAGTGTGAATGAAACATCTTATTTTCCTGTGTCAAATACTGGCAAAATCCTTTTATGCTTCTACAAATATCAGCCTTCTATGTCTTCGTTACTTTCTCTTCCTTGCTTTCTGGTGCTCTGGGCTGTCTTTGTCCAACAGTAGAATTTTAGCGTCCTTTTCTTGATATAGGGAATGACTCAGCTGTCTCTTGATGAGATGATAAGACAATCTCCAATAATTTGCATATAAAAGCAAATTCTATTAGTTTAGTTGTGTATATGCATTTGCTAAGAAACAGTGGTTCACTGTTGTTCCAAAATGCAGCTAGTTTATTTGATATCTTCATTGTAAAGGCAATGATATACATCTTTTTTCTTTAATACAAGTTTCCATCAGAGGAAATGATTTGCATGATTAGTTCTGTAAGCTATTCCAGAAACCATAATGTGTTCTCTCTTGACATGTTCTTCCAGGTCAAAGAGCCCATTTCCTGGTCTGCAGGTATCCTTAGTTATTGCCCAATAAAACACCTTCACTCTTCTAGATTTGCATCCTTTTGCAACCCCCTCTTTCTTTTGCTAGGGCCTTCCAACCACATTCCCCCATCTTATTGGTTCTATTATACTTCGTTTGTGAGGAAACTGTTTAGGTAATAAATAGTGAGTCCTGCATCACTTTCTTGTTTTCTGGAACACATTATCTGTTCCCCCACACTAATAGAAATCAAGCCCCTTCTCAAGGATACCACAATCCTCACACTTCTCCAGTAGAGGTCACCTTTCCTTTCCTCCCACTTCCATCCCTAGAAGCAGGATCCAGAGATATTTTCAACATTCTTGACCTGCGCTTTTGACATTCATTGTATTACTAAGTCTTAAACATTCACAATATCCCATCTATTTCCAGGACACTTATCCTTTGGTCAACGATTTCAGCCCCAGCCTGAAATGTTTTATCATCTCTATTCCAATTCCTGCCATACTGCAGCACTTCTGATTAAAAATTAAAACAGAACAAAACCTACAGCATTTGTCCTGTTTGGTGATCAGAATTTTCAGTTGCATATTTCAAATAAAATTTTCATTGACCTTCTAAGATCTTCCACTCTCCATTTCTCTAGTCCTTGTCTACCTTCACTTAGTTTCCTTGTCAATTCTGGGTTTTGCAAGCTTTCATGTGAACTGATTTATTTTATCCTTGATCTATATAGACCCAAATACAAGTGATTACAACCAAATGGCTCTGATCTTGGTCAATTAGAAAATGAGCATTCTGAATTCGAAATTGAGGTGAGGCAAACGAGGACTGGGTCCTAAGAGGGAGATTGATACTATTGATACATTTCCAAGTGTTATTCTGAGATTTATACTCTTGTCCAGTCCTTTGGCTCATTCATAATGGCGATTTCACGTGAACTCCCTCCCAGCCTTCTCATCATCCCATCCTGCCAGACTGAGCTGCCACATAAGACGGGCAAACTGCCACACTCAACATGGATGTCTACTGCCCTCTACTGTCCATTACAAGAAGTGACCTATGGCGGGCATGTTGGTTCTGTGGAAAAAGTTACCTCGGATTGACGAAAACCATGGCTGGAGTCCCAGTGCCTCATATCCATCCCTTTTCCCCCCTTAAATCAACTTATTAACATCATATTTTCCACAATGTCAAACTTTCTGTTTTCAAGGAACATTCCTAGATACGCTGCCTCAATCTCAAATCAATATGCTCCCTTACCGGTTTACTGAGATCAAAGCCATTTGGTGTAAGCACTCCCCCTTCTGGAATGTCTGTGTCTTCCCTTTCACTCAGCCTCTGAAGAAGTACCTTCTCTGAACTAAAGAGGAACCCAGATTTTAGGGTAACAATAGAAGATGGAGAAATGAGCAGAAAGAGTAGAAATGCAGAAAAGGTACAAAGAACAGAAATGAAGGCAAGTACAACTCTTCCCAGAAGTGTATAGTCAAAGGGAAGGAAAAAAATCTGATAGTAGAGGAAAATCACACAATTGAAGAAATGATTTTTATAGTATGGAAAACTTGAGTTTATTTGCAAGTTGATGAGACGCTTCCAGTAGAAAGGAATAATTACTAGAACATAACCCAGAGTGAACAGCATAGTCCTTCATATCATATTCTTCCACTTTTCTTTCCTTGTACCTCCCTTTACTCTTGTTCATATATCCCTAAGTGTCAAGCATCATGTATATATACATATATGGTCAATAAATATTCCGTTGAATTGTACTGACTGGAGAACATTGAATTGGCCAAATTATGAAGCCCAAGTGATATCACAACTAGGATTTTCTTGAAAGGTTCATATTTTTGCCTAAATGGCATTCCCACCCCCACCATCTCCTACTTTGTAAATTAAAAAAAAAAAAAAAAGTGAGCCCAAGGAGAGTAATTGCCTTACCATCATTATTTATATCGATCTTATGAAACACCAAGTTAGTAAATTCTTCAGGACTCAGAGTTTGCTGGCCATTGAAGGTTTGTACAGCCTGCAAAGAGAAATCAAATCGGGGAGTACAACTTTGCTGGAAGCAAATACATTTTGTGACATTTCTACCCTCAATGTGACAGAATTTGAGGATATGTTCATGTCATTTTGGCTGCCCAACCTGTTCTAGTTGTTAAAAATAAATAAAAAGATTATATGTCAGTTCAGGGTAATGAGGTTTAGAAATTTAATTAACTGAATGCAATCTGAAGTTTGATATTATATGGGACGAAGGGATCCATTCAACATATTAGGTCACAAAAGATGCAAAAAAGCCTACTGCAGAAAAAAACTGTAGCGGCTACTGTCATAAGAATTCTGGACCTAGAAAACAAACAATAATCTCAACTTCAGACCAGTTATAATTGATCTTATGGAGAAACATGAAAGGATATTCTGTAAGCATCCAAGGCTTCCCCTCCAGCTTCTGACACTAGCATCTCTGGTCCTTTTTGCCCTTTTGTAGAATGATCGACTGGGAAGACAGGTATGTATGCCTTGGAAGGACACTGAATTTCTCTCACATCCTGCCAGCACCTTTTCATCATAAAGGCTGTCAGGGGACCCAGAGAAAATGACATTTCCAGCTTTCCTAGAGGGGAAATTTAACCATGCTCTCCTTCTCCTCCACCTCCAGGTGATTAAATTAAATGACCAATATTTGATGTAAAAATTCATAATAAAATGAAAGAAAGATGGAGAGAGAGAACGAGTAGTCATCTGGGAATTTGAACATAACTATCTTGACTGAACATGAAGGGATCTTCAGAAAAACCACTGACAACATATTTTAATTGAGGGCATGGTCTGCAATAGGACTATCTCTTCTGCTGCTTCTTAAGCATTACTGAAGCTGAATCCAGGATCAGTCAGAGCGAACAGTGGTAATGCACCACTCCTGGCCTTAGCAAGTCCAGGTCTCACGGTTAAATATACAGGAATACTTAGAATAATGGTTACATGCATGTAGTATCCTATTAGATGAACGTTTTTAGGGTTTCTCGGTGTCTTGACAGAGGTCCCAAAAGCCTAGAAAATTTGGCTAGGCATCCAGTATTCCCACAGCCTGAAGGGATACTAGACCACATGAATACGTTATAATAAAAGATTATGCAATTTCTAGGATTTGTCTGTCACCCATCACTGGGCAATATAAGTGAGACTGAAGGATTGATGGAAGGTTTACGAGGCCTGAAGGGGTATTTTCGGAGGGAGTCGTCAGTGTTTCCTGTGTTTTCCCTCTTCTTACAGAAGAAACATGGTTGGGGATGGGTCGGGAGGCATGGGTTGTTTCCTTCTTTCCTCCCTCATTTAGCATGTCTGCACTTTCTCCTGCATTTTGATAAGGACCACTTCTGAGCGGGAGCAGGAGGAGGTAGGAGAGAAGGGGGAGCAGGACACCTCTGACTTGGCAGGCACTGTCATGGCTACCGACTGTCAGAGCTCTCTGGATGGCAGATGTTGGAAATTCCCTCTTTCTCTGAGACCATGTTTCCCCTTCATTACTGAGACTCTCCTGCAATTCCCTAGATGTGCATCATGCATTTTGATTCCAGCTGACCCCTCGAGGCTCCTTCTACAAGTTCTAGGTCTGAGTTTCTCAACATCTGCACAATTGATATTGCAGACTAGACAATTCTTTCTTGTTCGGGATTATCCTGTGCATTGGAGAATTTTTAACAGCCATCCCTGGTCTCTAAACAATGGATAGCATTTGCACCACACCCTCCTCCACTCACCGCCCAGCTGACAACCAAAATGTCTCCCAACATGGCCACATGTCCCCTGGGGGAGTAAGAGTGCAACCTTGCTCCTGGTTGAGAACCACTCTCTAGTTCTACCTCCAGCTCCCTCTACTTCTGAGGTGCCCTCACTTCTCCAAGTGGCTCAGCTGGACAAGATCCAAGACAACTCCATGTCAACTTCCCCACCCCCCATATCTGATCTATGAAAAAACCTCCGTCCCAACTAATTCTAGGCATGAGATATTTCCCAAACGGCATCCCTCCACTCCACTGCCATGGTCTGTTTCATATAGATTTCTCAGATTCAAACAGTGGAACACAGTGTTCCCCAAACCTCTATGGTCTCCTTAAATTCCCATGCCGTGGACTTGAAGTCTCTTACCCAAGAAATCCTCTCTAATAATTCTTCTCAAAAATTCTCCTGACCATTTTATGTCTTTGAAGTGAAATTAAGATGTAACTACATCTTTGTAAATTTTGCCTATAATCTAGTACTTCCTTTGGATCTTTTGATGGTTGGGCTGTATTTTATTTCAACATCCTGTAATCATGTACCGAGAGAACTTCTATTAAACAGCATGTATTATTCATTACCCTATTTTTTTCATTTGCTACCACAAACATTTGTTGATACTCATTTTTTGTAAGTACATATTCCATTGCATTAATTTATTTAAAACTATTCTTCTTTTAAGTCATTTATTTTTAGTATCTTAGTGATTGTGATGTAAATGATAGAACTTTGATCTTTGATGATGTTAATGATTGTTTTTTCTGACCAGAAATGTTGACTCTAAAATAAAGATAAACTTTTAGCCTCTTGATGCAGATTACCAAATTTCCAGGAATGTTCTATCCATTTATACTCCCTCCACAAGTGTGTAAGGGTGCTCTTCTTACAGTGCCCTTGCCAGAATTAAATCTTATTCTTGTTAATTTTTATTAATTTCATTGGAGACAAATAGTATCAATTATTAATTTCTGCCCTGTGCTTTTATTATTTGTTTCCTTATTTCTTTTTGTTCTCCTTTTAACACTTCAAGAAAAAAACTCAATTAGCTACTTAATATTTCTCTTTTCTTTACTCATTAATGGAAGTTACACATTTTAACTAATGAAAACCTGTGCAAAAATTTCTGAAGATTTAGACAAAATCATTTTATCCTTTCGTCCCTCCTAATTCTTTTGAGAATTTGATGACCCTCTATCTCTCCCCCCAAAAATGGGTAACATACAAGAAAAAATTTGCACTCAATTTCATGGTCTTCAAGGATTCCCAAAGGCCACAGATCCATAGATCCCAGGATATGAACCCTTGCTCTGAGTACTGCTTTGGAGTCATCCCCCAATATTTGTATGCTATATTACATATTTAATTTTTTAAAATAAATTTGAATATGTTTATTTAAGAGAATATTCTAAAATTTACATGTAGTTGGGCAGTCTCTAGAGAATATTCTGGATTCCTAATTTTGTGTTGCAATATGTAATATGTATACAGAATTTCAGAATTTTAATGCTTACAAAATTCAATTACAAAGTGCATCTTAGCACTTTTTTGTGAATTACTTGTGTAAGATTAAAGTGGAAGCAATATTAATATTATCATACTCTTGAATTCTTTGCATATGTTGGTTAACTCTACATTTGATAGTTTTAAATTTTAACAGGTTTGAGGTGTTTAATTATAATCGTAGTTCTACCCATTTATTTTTCTTTACATTGTTGCTAATATTTATACTATGTATTATGTTTGTAACTCAACTCCTTCATCTATAAATGGAAGAATTTGGACCAGATCATTTCTAAGACCTCTGATTCTAATTCTGACTCTGTGTTACAAATTCACTATATCGCATTCATAATGTTTATTTTACTTCACATTCTCACTTAGGTACAGTGTCCCATTTAATCATCTTTTACTCTAGGATCCATTTCATCTCATACCATGATAATAACTATTCCCAATTCCGTGATGGGGGGGGTTGAGATTTACAAAAGGACTCATTGAACTTTAGAGCTGGAAAGGATCCCAGAATCCTTGAGCTACCTATTAGAAATACTTTAGTCCAACCCCCAGAAAGATTGATGCCCAGCTTTCTTTGTTCTTAGTCCATGGCTCTTGCTATACAAACCATCTAGTATTTCAGCTGTTCCTCACAAAACTTTCTGCACGGATGCAGACAAAAAGATAAATTGTTTCAGAATATCATGTTTATTTCATTTTTCATCTCAGTACTCTGCTACATCTGTGAATTTGAACACCAACAAGAAAATGCTGGTTTGCAGGTGCACACTCAGTAACCAATAGCATAGAGAAACTTGCATGGCTCCAGTGGTTCCAAATGTATATCCCAAGAGTCACTAACCACATAGACAGCTGTTGCCAGCTCCACAGGGAAGAAAATTACATTAACTATACAATGTCCTACAAAGTTCCTTCACTACTTCACTTACCATGAAGATGTTCAGTAGTTCCTTTTTGTCAATAGAACCGTTTCCATCAACATCATACAGTTTAAAATACCATTTTAATTTTTGCTCCATTTTTCCTCGTATAACTAAATTTACAGCAACAATAAACTCTAAAAAGTCAATAAATCCATCCTATGGAAAGCAAGGTGGAAGGGGAAATCAATATCTAAGAAAAACAATTGTTTTTTATTTGAGAAGTCACGGTTCATGAGCAGGACCATTAGCACAAATTAATACAACCCACAAGATTTCAGAATAGAACTTTTCCTGGCACTTTGTTAAACAAACAAACAAACAAAAACATGGGTGATGTGTATAGAAACAAGTAACTTTACATATATAGGTAAGTGTCTTTTTTAGAGAAAATATCTACTCCTTATGTCAAAAAAAAAAGGAAAAAGTTCTGAAATGCCATGAGGGAAGGCTGTGTCCTCACCACCAGACATCCTACAAAGGCTGTCTTCTCCTGAGTATCTTCAGGTTTTGTTGCCTACTCAGGAGAAGATGAGTAGAAAGGAATTACCAAGGAGCTAAATTCTGTACTCCTTTTTAGAGAGCCCGGTTGATCTTTTTGGAATGCTGAACTCCGCGATTCCTTTTAAGTATGTCATTTTCAGTATGAATCAAGATTTATGAGCCTCTTTTCTGTAAAGATTTTGCCATATTAGTCAATCTTAGAAAAGACTGTTTAAGGCTCTCAAGCTTAGGTTTAAGGCTCTCAAGCTTAGGCAGTTCCCCTCATCCTGTTTTAAATGGGTAAAACACTCCCAGTTGAAACAGAAATAGTGGGTATCATTCTTAAGACTCACACCCTTCAAACCTTGCTCAGCCAAACGCTCAACCATCTTAAGAAAGGTGACCAGCTCTCTGCTATGTTCCCGTGGGAGTTCAGATGCCAGCATATTCAGCCCAAGAAAACATGTTGCCAGCTGCATCCTCCTTGGAACTTTGGAATGTAGAGTCCTATTTACAAACCAGGATGTGACATAAAGTACTCCCTTTCCCTTGGATATAAAGGGCTTGAGAATTATCGGCCTGTAAAATGGTATGTGTTTGCTTTGAGGCTCAAGCTTTTGTGTCTAGCCTATAAGAAAAGCAAATGAAAAATCACCAGTAGTTCTGGATGTGAAGCAAAGCCTGCTTGCTGGTTAACAGCTTTTTGTTTTATTTTACTTTGCTTGTTTTGTATGGTAGACTACTATAATATCTTGGCTATTAAAAGCCAATGTGCTAATAACTATAGCATTGTCTTCAAATGTATTATTTTTTTTAAATTCTCTACAATATATAATAAAAATATCATAAAATATTTTAAAATTTTACTACATGTATTAGATTTTTATATTTTACAGCTTAGATATCTTCACCCTATCAATAACTTTAATACTTCTTATAAGTGATAAGACTTCTACTAACAGTTTGGAGTCTGGTTGAATGAATCTCCTAAAGGAAATTTACTCAAGTCTACAAAACATAGCTGGTTTTACCTTTTCTCCATCAGCCTTTCTTACTGTTTGTTACCACTTCACCATATTAATCCCTAGCCTACTATGGCTGAGGCAAGGGAGATATGTTATCATAGAGTGGAAATGTATTTAAGATGACATCAAGATATCTTCCGATTTGGCGGGACACGACCATTATTTTTCAGTGATGAGACCAGCAGGTGCAGAGGATGGAAGTTGGGTGGACAGTATCCAATCAGGGCACATTGGCTCCCAGGTCTTCCTCCTGCGTCTCTTAGTGCTGACCAATCAATACAACTGTTTCCTGGGTAGTCCTTATGCGTGTTTGCCCAAAGGTTACAGAAGCGTCCCCCCTGAGGAGGCTGAGTTAGCTTGCTATAAAGTTTCCATAAAAACCTTTATTTTGTGAGGGTTTGTTTCACTTCTCGAGTCTTGCTTCAGTGATCACAGTTTTTGGCATCACCTGTATGATGAATGGCAACAGACTAGACTGAGTAATGTTGACTTTAGAACATTTGGTATTTTATGATTAAGCAACAGTGGGCAGGTGGCCCTAACTCCTTCCAAACCAGGCTGTGGAAGCTCTGAGCAAACTATATCAGGAGATGAGCACAAATATTTTCATTGTATGGCTTTAAAATGGACAATCCTGCTAATCTACAACCAAAGTTGATGGTGGGTAAGGAAGGAAGCCTTTTCTACTTAGACAAGTGCAGCCTTTGGCAAAATCTCCTGCAAGCAAAACATTTTCTGTCTTTATTTTAGCATTCCATTATGTAATTAGACAAATTCTTAGCAAGCTACAGCCAACTCTTCTTTCCAATTATCTTTCTGGTATGATTTTGTAGAAATTTGCATCAGTGAGACAACTCTGGTGAATGTGATTTAATGGCTTGTGTTAGTGTTGGAGAGAGTTTTAGGTAATGCTTATTCTGTAAATCAGAAGATAAGGTAATTATTGCCTTCTGTTAACCTCTAGTTTTTAAGCCCAGGGTGGGGAGGTGGATAAAAACCACAGAGAAGGTGAGATGTTCCTGCAAATGTGACTAGAAAGAATGCAATAGAGGATGTTCAAAGACTTTTCTTTGAGGCTATCCAAGGGAACACTGTTAAGTTCATATTGCTGTATTTGAGCCACTGGAGTCCTTGTGGCACATAGAACTGTCTGGAGATGTCTGGTACCGATTGGCCTTGCGCCAGAGTAGGGCTCATAAACTCCCTGCATCATAATCACAAGGGGACAATGAAATATGCAGATTCCTAGAACCTGACCCCCAAACAACACCATCAAAACTACTTGGGTTGGGGCCCAAGAGTCTGCATTTTAAAATGCTCCCCAGGGAAGTCTGATGTATCCTAAGATTTGGGAACCACAGACCTAAGCTGTTTTTCTTATAGATGTCTTCTTTTGTAGGCAATGTTATCATCTAGGTATCTAAGTGGCTGTGGTAATTATGACTTATTCTCACTTGAATTTATATAACCTTATTAAGACTAATTAGAAAAAATATGACCCACATGGTTCAGTCTCAGAATGACGCAGGCATACAAATCCAGCCCAGCAATCAAAAATTAATTTCAAAATAACAGCAAGTCTTTACTTTCATTTCTGGAACAAACACAAGTCGCAAGAAATGTATGGATTTCTTCACAACACCCCCTTCCTCTCCCATCTGCTCCCGCACATACGTCCTGCTGCTCAACCTTCAGCAATCTCCACTGCCCGGTGTCTTCACAGCCAGCCTAAGCACGAGAACACTTCAGCCTTTCACTCTCCCAATGTGTCTCATAATTCTGCACCAAAATCCTAAAACATTAGTTTGGCAATGGCAGGATCCTCCTTTGAGGTTGAGGGCAGGGAGAAAATTGGGCCCATTCTCATGAGCCTCAGAGAAGGAGAGTTTGGGAGCATGTGTACAAAAATCATTTGAACCCCAACACATTTATAGATTTATACATTATGTTCTTGGGGTGGAGTGGGTTAAAGGGAAGAGTTAAACAGGGCCAAGATATGGAAGCATGACAGTTCCTCGGGCTCCAAAAGGAGTTTGGTCCATTAACACATTATGAATCATTTTGTAGAAGGCGGTGAAAACAAGAGAGAGAAAAAATATATGGAGACTTTAAATCCAAGCTTTCTTGTGGTTTCTAAAATGTATGGGAACTAGAAGGCATACTTTTTACATCTATAAAGAAAGTATAAAACGATAAAAAATATGTAAGACTTTCTGTTCTTTCTTTCTACCATTAAAGAGATGAAACTTTAGAAGTCTAATACAATAAAAAATAAGGAAAACAAAATCTATTCTGTTCTAGTCAGCAGAAAATCCACAGGTGGAATTATGTGGTCTCCAGGCAGGGTTCACAACCTGCCATAAATTACAGTTGCTTTCAGGATATGATCAATTTGAAATGCAGATAGAAAGTTAAATTATAAAACGTATATGCATATGAATCAATTATTTTATTATTTATTACTCAGTATAAAAGCTATAAAATTTATCATATATATATTTCAAGCACTGTGCTAGTCACTTTCCAAGCATCATCTCTAATTCTAACAGCAACCTGACAGGCAGCCTTATTATTCTTAGCTTACAGAGGAGAAAACGGATTTTCAGAGAGGCTAAATAGACGAGTTAAATAACAAAGTTAGGACATAGGTGGATCTAGGATTTAAATATAGTTAGCCTTACTCCAAGGCTTTTGTTCTTTGTGCCATCCAGTATTTATTGCCCTCAAAACGCATTACAACCGAATTCTTCTTCTGAGAGGGGTGTCCATACAGATGGGACACATTCAGTGCAGCGTGTTGTTCTGGATTCACATGTGTAGGCTATTTGGCAATACAGTCGTATAAAGTAAGGCGACCCAATGTCTGAAGATACTACACCTTGGCGCCCGTGCTTCCTTCATACCCAGGGCTGCCCAAGGGACAGCTGGCCTGTGTGGTCTGAGCTGCTTCGTCCCAGGGACACTGTGAGCCCAGAGAGCTCTTAGAGCCACCACTTCCAGATCTCCCTCACCTGCCCTGCAGAACCATCCGGCCCAGTAGGACAAAAAGTGTTCTCTCTCCTCTTGCCTCTCCTGCTTCTTGGTATCTTTGATGAACACTTCTGTCCATTTGGGAATCCTTAGCCCCCTCGCCCTACCCAAGGATTCAGCCTCCGGCACCCCAGAGACGATAGCCCTCCCGGCCTATGTTTCCCCGGAAATTTCCCCAGCTGCCCCTCCAGGAACAGAAGCCCACACACTGGTGTAGCTAACCCTGTTGTGTCTTCACCTCTGCTCTTGGCTAAGTCTCTACAGTGTCCCTTTGCTCTGTGGCTGGTACTTGCTTTGGCTCAGCATTTCCCCCTCTTCAGGGCCTCACACCTGCACTGCAGCCCTGACTAACCCCTCCATTCTCCCCACTTGGTAAAACACCCAGGTAAGATATCACCGTAGATATCATCTGATATGCCAGTGTGGTCCTGCCATCACTCTCTGTATGCCTGAGAGACTCCAAGAAACAGATACTGAAATGTCATCTCAATATATTTCAAGACATCTGCTTTGGAGTTTTGTCCCAGGGATGGAGGTACAAATTTATAATCTCGGTAATGTCCTTGGGGGAACTTGGCTTCATTTCACAGATTCAAATTGTAGAATTTCAGTTCTAGAAAC